AAGATTGTTTACATATGATACTTAGAATTACATTGAAACAGGTGAGTGGGTAGCACTCATAGCCCACCTTGGTCGCAGGTTTGATTCCTGCGTCTGCTTAGACCGTTCTGTGTGGAGTTTCTTCCAGTGTATGGATAGTTTTCATGTCGGCATGTCGGTTTCCTGCTCCAGTCCTTGGGCAAGACACTTTATCCCACTTTGCCCATAAGGACCGTGAAAGTAATTGTATGCTGCATGCCTTGATGTGTATTCATCAAAACTTAAATTTACCACTCTGGGACGAAAAGGATTATCTTCTTCTTCTTCAAATGAGGATAACGTATCCCCTCACCTACATAAAATATAACGTAAACCTATAGTTTTGAAAAGGTTGCACAATTTACCATTCCTTCTGTTTTTTTGAGAGATTTACAGAAAAGTATAAACTCACTCAAAGAAAAGAAATAAAAAACAGAAAATGATGACAAGGCATTTATTTATTGTAAAGTGCAGTAAAAATACCTAAAGAAGCTATATATTCAACCGCCATCACATCCATTTGTTTTCCATAACGTGAGGCATCATATTTCACCCGTTGCCCTGTTGACTTTTGTGATTTTAATTTACATGACTCATTCTATAGAATAAATAAACCTCTGGACTCACGAAGTAAAGTTAAGAAATATGAATGCGTCAAACCTGATGGAGGTCCATGAATAATGCACGGGCTTTGGTCAGCGCTTATTTGTGTGATTGGAAAAAAGCTGTTGTGGATTATGGCTTCATTTCAATTCAGAAGAAAAAGCCTTTAAATTAGTTGAGAGGCCACTTCCAAGGTCTCCTCCCGCATCTTATTATTTACAACCAGCTCCGTTTATCTGTCAAGCCCCATGTGGAGTTATGAGCCTCCACTGGAAAAGCACAACTGCAGCCAAATATCCTCCATCGAGCATAAAACTGATCGCTCTTGTTCGTCCTAAAGCTTCATAAAACTGTAACAGCCTGTGCTAACTGAACTGAGATGTTGAGAGGAAATATGCCCATAAAAAGTAATGCTTGTCAGGGACTTTGTTATAAAGGCAGCGACAAGAGAAGTTTAAATACAGTGCGGTTTATGGCATATTAACTTCAGTGTGTGAGACTGCCCTTCACAGATTGACCAGACATTCTCTATACATTCTACATGACAAATAACAATTTCTAAATTTTGTATGAGTCAATTCATGATAAAGGTGACTATATATGTTGATTGTTGTATTATCGAGTGAAAAGTTAGCTCAAGGAAACTACAGGCATGGATTAAACAGGATCTGGACGGTATAGAGAAAGTATGTCTAAACTAAGGCCCTGTATAAAGTAAATAAAGTTTGGGCACCCCAGTTAGAAAGACAACATTGTCAGAAGAGATAAAGGATAGCAATAGCAGGTCAAAAGATTAGATATATCACTCAAGTGTCTAAAAGATGTTGTAGATTTTAGATACAGCACACGTTGAAACATGTGTCAACACTTTTTTTTTATCAAAGTGTTTGTATATGATGTGTATTCATACTAGCCTGAGGTCATTCTTTTCAGAGAGGGGAGTCTCGCTTATCTCACCAGACAAGAGATGAGACTGGACTATAGACCAGACCCAGACCAGACGCTGCGATCTTACCATATATGGAGCAAAGATTGACGTCTTCGGAGGCACTTCCTGTTCTTCAACACATTTTCATAAAACTGTTGGGAACGACATTGTTAGTTAGTCTGAGCAGGCAAAGTCACGGATATTGCTGATTTGAATTTTTGCATATTCTTGGTCTTCTTTACTGGTCAAATCCTGAATCACGTCCTTCGACATAAAAGACAATGTTGATTTTGCATTCCATGTCCTCTTTCAGGCAAACAAATTTAAGAATTGTTAGAATATGTTTGTACTCCTATTATAATAGCGGTGTGGAATATGAAATTAAACGTCAATCTCACTTGATATCGAAAAGTAAAACTAGTCTAGAAGGTTTTTTGTCAGTTTTCATGTTTGGAAAGGCTTAAAATGAGTATTGAGTAATGAATAGATTATAAAAAGTTGAACATTAAAACCTCTGCTGAAGAGTTGAATGAAGAGAAGATGCGTGCGTGACTGATTTGGTCGACGCATTTGTAGCTTAGTGACTCAGAGATGAAAAGCCGGGAGAGATGAGACTGTAGAGTATATGAATGGCTTTGATGGTAATTGGTTTAGAGGTAAAAGTAGCAGTTTGTCACAACAGAGAGTAGGAATATGGAAACGCAAAATTGGCTCCTTATGAAGTATGATGGTGTTGTGTATTTACCTTTGCGTTTCAAATGAAAGTCAAAATAAAGTCAAATAAGGGGAGATGATATTTCTGTGCGCATAAGATTACGTTTACATTGGGCTGGGAGAGAACGAACTATAATGTTGGCTGTACATGATTCCAGTCACATTTTTGGTGGAAGATTAAGATTAAGAGATCCTTTGTTCATTCCACAGTGGGGGAATTTCAGTGTTGCATCATTTGTTATAGAACAGTAGGAAAGAGGAGCACACAGTGCAATATAAGTGAACAATAGCTATACTAGTTAGAATAAAACAAAATCTCTAACTATAGCATCAAGTATAAGTAAGTAAGTAAGTAAGTAAACTTTATTTATATACCGCCTTTCATAGACCAGAGTCACAAAGCGGTTTACAATTGTTATTTTTTTGGGCACTTGTCCTCTCACTCCACACAGAGATGGGACATCTCTATCTTGAACATAATAATAATAATAACAATAATAAAGAATAAGTATATTACACATTTGGCAATAAGAGGCAAGTATACAGTACTGTGTATTCCAGTGTAAGTAAAGTGTAGTTATATGTTCGCATCTGTACATTAGCAGCAGAATGTTTACATCTGTACATTAGCAGCAGTATGTTTACATCTGTAAAAGTTAGCAGCAGTATGTTTACATCTGTACATTAGCAGCAGTATGTTTACATCTGTAAAAGTTAGCAGCAGTATGTTTACATCTGTACATATTAGCAGCAGTGACACAGTGACTCAGTAAAGTGACAGTGACATGTGGTTATTGCACATTCTGATATTAGTGCAACATGAGTTTATTGACCATTTAGAATAAATCAATATAATATGTAAAATATCTCATTGCCTCACTGTGAGTATGTGTCCTGACTTTGAGAATGAGTGGGAGCATGCTAGCCTGGCCATAGCCATCCGTACTCTCCGCTCAATCATCATTTCACTGCATTTAACGTCTGGGTCTGGTCCCTGTGTTATGGAATACAATCGGTCGTATTTCGACCGGCTACTCGGAGAGCGCGGAAGGCGAGTGTTGTAGGTCGTGCCGGTGACGTCAAGAGTTTGAGCCGAACGGGCAGAATGTAGTTTGGTAATGGCAAAGAATACGTTAGTAAAGTAATCCGGTCTGGTTCTATCAAGAAATTGAAGCAGGAGCAAGAGGAATGTTTAGCAAATGTAATCGCTGCAAAGACTGTGGCTCTTCTCCCCACGGGCTCCGTTAGCGGCAAAGGAGATGGCTGGCTAAATGCTAAATGCTAACAACACACTCGGGCTCATTACATACGTCACGGTAAACTCAGATCCCATCGTTTTTATCTGTAAAAAGAGTTAACCCCTCCCACATGTAAACGGAGCTCAATGGAGCAAATCCAGACCTTAGTATGAAATGTCATTTGTACTAAGGTGTGGTACGACCAGGCTAGGAGCATGCTACTGATGGCAGAAGCAGCCACTGTGGCCTGCAGGCTGCTACATTATGTCTTAAAGCTAAGAGGAAACTGGCTGGACCGAGCCAGAGCATAACCAACCATCTTTTACTGTAGTTAATGAAGACACGCCAAACATTTATTTCTGGAGCCAAATTGTCATCAGTGCCTGTTAAGAAATGAATGAATGTGTGTAAGTCTAGACACGACAAAAAAAAACAATTGTAAACCGCTTTGTGACTATGGTCTGTGAAAGGCGGTATATATAAAACAAAAAAACTTACTTACTTACGATGATAGTTAACCTACTTTTGGGTGTTGAAAATAGTTAGTCTCTTGTCTTTCTCTGGTCTATCTCTAGTCTCTTTCCAGTCTCTCTCTGTTCTCTCTCCGATCTCTCTCTGTTCTCTCTCTGATCTTTCTCAGGTCTCTCTCTCTAGTCTCTTTCTGGTCTCTCTCTGGTCTCTTTCTAGTCTCTCTCTAGTCTTTCTCTGGTCTCTTTCTAGTCTCTCTCTAGTCTCTCTCTGGTCTCTTTCTAGTCTCTCTCTAGTCTCTCTCTGGTCTCTTTCTAGTCTCTCTCTAGTCAACGTAGATGTGCTAAATCAAGCATATTTTTGTTGACGCTGTTTGCAGACCCATTGATTAATATGTACTGTGCTAAATTCAAATAAAGAAACGTACTCATTTATTTTTATTTTATTTTTAAGTCACAGTCTGTCTTTAGTTCCAATCCCTCACATTCGGCCTTTTAACCGAGAGGTATCGGACACAAAGAAGCCAGAAGCACGTCCCAGTCTCACGGCGGCCATGACACTCACCAAGCACCAAGTCCGTCTGCTTCAACATGAGATTCTGTGCCATAAGATCATAACAAATGCTCCCCATTTAAACTGTGGCTTTAAATGATGAGCAAAAGTCGCTTCTCTGATTGACAAAAACACATTACTAGTTCTTTCATCACGGTCAGTATCTGCTCACTAGGCTCTGTGCCTCTGAACATAGCATATAAATGGAATTATGCTCAATGCTCCGTGTGAAAAACCTAAAACATGTGTTGTGTCTGATGCCACCGGGATGCTAAAGCCGCTCTGGATCTCTTGCTGGATGCTTTTGTAGGAATCTTTCCAGCTTTTTCTCTTGCTGTACCCCCATTTCTCTTGCTTTACCTCCTTTTTATCTTGCTTTACCTCCTTATTCTCTTTCTTTACCTCCTTTTTCTCTTGTGTGCATTACATTGCCCAACTACATGGGAGAATAAGTGACGGTTATATGACAGTTACCGTCTTTAAGGAAAGCCTTTAAAGAAATTTCCAATGCGTTTGAGCCACGATGGTTTCGTCTTGTTCGAACCTTCTCTGCGTTTGTCTGGACTGTTGATGGTGTACACTTTGTTCATGGAGGTTGTGGATGCCTTCTTTGGGGCAACATCTACATCGCTCTCAGATATGTCGCTCCAGCTTGAGAAAGTTATCACAGATTTCTTAGACTTCTTGGATCTGCTGTTTAAATCTGAGGTACTGGATTTTGGTGGAAGAGGCAGCTTTAGGTTACTGAGGTCTCCAATCTGTCTCGGACTATGGGGCATTTCTGGTACAGAATTGAACATAGACCCTTGTGGGATTTGACCAGAAGAGAATCGCTCAATGTCAGATTCTTCACTTGTAGCGTCTGTATCATCTGTATCAGAACGCACTTTTGGATTGGGTTTTGCAGTAAAGAAGGTCCATTCTCCATTTTCAGATTTAGATTTGGCAGGCCCTGCAGCTTTCACGTCTTGTTTAGACTTTTTCTTTCGCCTTTGCTTCTGTTTCACGTCCATCAAGTCGTCTTTTACTTCGCCTTCTGAAATGGGAAGCTGTAGAATGGACTTCTTACACGGCAGTGGTTCTTGGGGTACCACTTGGATCGCTGGTTGAGGTTGTCGTTCTTGGGCTCGTTTTTCTTTGAGCTTTTGCAACCTCTCACGCATCAACGTTTTCTCCTTAAACCGGTTCTCAAGCTCAACCTTCTCCTCCTTCCATTGGACCTCCTTGTCGAGACAGTCTTGTCGCACGCCTTTCAAACTCTGGCGAAGCTTGTCTGTGCAACTCATTGACATTGTCATTCATTCTGGACAACTCATTTTGCAGTTCCAGTTTCTCTTTTGTCCACAACTCCTGCTGCTCTTTTATCTCGGCCATCTCTTCTGCGTCAAAGCTCTCGCGCAGGTTTTCTATTTTCTCTTGCAATGCCTTGATTTTCTTACCCTTCCGAGAGCAATCTTTCTGAAGTGTGAGCTTCTCTTGGGTTATAAACTCCTGCCTTTCCAACTCACGACCCAATTCTTCATGTTGGATTTGCCATTCGGTCTCCATCATCTCTCGGAGCTCGATAACTGTGCTTTGTAGCTTCTCAATATCACTTTGAAGCGACTGAATTTTCTCAATCTTTTTGCTCAGTTCTTGTTCGGATTCTCTGTGTCCGTTCCTCGCGCACTCTAGTTTCTCGTTTCGTTTGTGCTCGACCTCTTTGTGGTACTTTTGGAAATCTGCTGAGATTTTCCCTTGTTGCTCCAGGAGTTTCTTCTGCTGTTTCTCCTCGTGGGTTTGTAGCCTCTCTATCTCGTGATTCTTTTGGCTCAAATGATTCTCCAGTTCGCGTTTTTCTCTATCCCAACACTGCTGCTGCTCGGCTAACTTGGAATCTGCTTCCTTCTGGTACTTTTTCTGCGCCGTTTCTAAGTCCTCTTGGAGTTTAAGAACTTTTTTGTGCAGCAGTTCTGTTTCAAATTTCTTCTTCTGACTCTGGCTCTCAATCTCACTTTGCAACTTGTCCATTTTGTGAACGTTTCTGGAGCGACCTTGTTCCAGTTCTAACTTCTCCTTGGCCCAGACCTCTTGTCTTTCTTTCAACTTGCGTTCCAACTTCTCGCAGTAAAATTCCTTAGTTGTAAAGTTGTCTTGAAGCGAGACTATTCTCTTTCTCAGCAGATCAATCTCGTCATTCTTCTTTGAACAGTCCTTTTCCCATAACTCATGCTGCTCTCTGAACCCATCGTCCATTTTCCTAAAATAACTTTTAAACCGCTCTTCCCATTTCTCATTCTTGCTGAGCAGCTGCGTAACATACAGCTTCAACTCTTCTATATTCTTACACTTCTGGGTAAGGTCCTTAAGCAGGGTTATCCTATTTTTCAGAGTCGCCTCCTCTTTCAAAATTCTGCGTTGCTTTTCATGGCTGTAGCTTGGACTGTCGCCTGTTTGGGGAATGACTGAACACCAGCAAGCTGCATTTTTAGATAATCTCTTTCACAGGAGAAAAACATTTCCTTTTAGGACCTCTTTGCAGCTGACTGACTTGGCTCACCAGTTCCCGGTTTTCCTCACGCAATTTCTTTGTCTCAGCCACCAACTTTGCGTTCTCCGAAGCCCATTCCTTCTTTTGAGCCTTGAACTCAGCCCTAAACCCGTCCCTTTGCTGTTTTTCATGGAGAAGGCCAACCTCTTTCTGAGATAAAAGACTTTTCACATCAGCTAAATCCTGTAGTATCTTCACCACTGCAGTCAATAATTCCCTTTGACTAACGTGTTCGAAAATGGATGCAGAAGTAAGGCAGAGATCTTCAAGTTTAACATCTGTATTTAATTTATCTTTACAATCAAATAACAGAAATTCAACCAGCTCCTATACTATCCATGTCCCTCTCTGGCCCTGGTCTGCTTCTCCAGTTCCCGCCTCCAGCCAGAGCATAAAAAGAACAGGAAGGAGGGGAGTGTCCTATCAGCCAGCTTCCGGTCTAGGGTCCAGCCTTTTCCTCCGTCTGCCAGACTCCTGATGGAGTGAGGTTGAAAAGTGCAGAAGTCAGCAGGCCAAGACTAGGGGGGTGAAATACAAACAGCAGAATCCATCGGTTGTCCAGTTGCTGGCACAAGAAGACACCTAAAATAAAATAAGAAGGACTGGCCTCCCACTTAGAGGTCGTTTAGGTCATAAAACACATGGTTTTAGAATGTCATGTATTTATAAATACAACACCACCTTCTCACTCTTCTCGGTCAGGTCGTTGTTGAGCCGTGTGATGTTTTTCAGGAGCGCCGTTTCTCGATTCATGATGGCTTTTTCGTTATCTGTGCTGCATTGATTCCTCTGCTCCAGATTCTGCTGCTGATCCTTCACTTTTCTCTCCAGGGTTTGGATGTGTTGGGACATCCTGTTGATTTCATCTTGCATGATCTTCTTCTCTTTAGCCCGGGCCACCTCGCTCCTAAACAAGGCAAACTGGGCTTCCTTTACACTGGTCCAGACCGGAGCAGACTGAGCTACTGTAGGGCGACAGTAGCTCAGTTGGTAGAGCATTGGCCTTAAGGCCAGAAGGTCGTGGGTTCATTCACCTCTGCACCTTCTCCACCGACTCCCACTGATGACTGCTGTCGTTGTGTCCTTGGGCAAGACACTTAACCCCACTTTGACCAAAGCCCCCACTGAAAGATCAAGGCTATGCTCGCTCACACTCAGAGCAGCCGTCCTCCTGTGGACTCACCACCTGCAGAGGGTCAGTGAGGGGCTGGTGCTATGAGACTTGGGTGGCATCTCTGCCACCCCCCTGACCCAGAAATGGATTAAAGGGTAGAAAATGGATGGATGGATGGACAGACCGGAGAGAGGATTCATGGTTTTACACTGGTCCAGACCAGAGCGGAGAGGATTCATGGTTTTACACTGTGTGTGTGTGTGTGTGCGTGTGTGTGTGTGGTTTGTACTGACAGATTAGCCAATTACAGGGGCGATTTTTGACTTTCAGCTTCAGGGGTGCTTAGCACCTTGGGGTGGGTGGGGCATATGCAGATGGAATTTGCAAATTGCATTAAAAGTGACATCCGTGTCTTCATTCGTTTAAACTTTTAAAAAAATTCTCTGACTTCATGTCCGCCATCTTGGAAACCCGACGTAACACCGGCAATCCTTATTGATCGATTATTTTCTGATCTGCTGAAGGAGTTTGGTATGACGTGGATCCCAGACCCATGTGGTTCAGCCAAACGCCTCTGGTGGAGCATGGCGGAACTACAAGGGTCTGGCGAGAGCCAAGCTAATCTGATCCATCAAATGTTTTTCAATTATTGCAGGGCAAAGCTGTATGTGAAAGCCAGATCACAGGGCAGAGCCTGGCACATACTGATTGCACCGCTTCTGTCAGTATGCCCAGGGCAGCTGTGGCTACAGTAGTAGTTTATAATCACCGTGTTTGGATTGAATGAATAATGACACGTGAAGCCCCTTCATTTGTATAAAAAAAACATTATACTCCAAATGTGTTATAAACCAATGCATTATTATCAATATTATGATAAACCTAAAACTTCAATTTCATATTAAAAAATATAACTGACACTCTGTATTCTAATTGTGATCCAAAAACGTCTATTTTGTGTGGTAGGAAAAAAAACATGTTTTAGCAATTCAACCAAGGCTTCAAGTGGATTTTCTCAAGAGCCGAACCTTGTCAAAGGGTATTAAAGAAAAAGAGTCTTTAAACTCAATCCGACTTAGTTAAACATGGATAAACCCACGCAGACAGATCCATTGTTTAAATAACACAAACAAGCCATTTACAAAAGCTCTGGTTTAACATTTCTCTCTGTTTTCAAGTCAGCTTTTCAACTAAATAAAACCGTGTATCTTACTACTGTACAAGAGCAAAATGTTCTCTCCTTGCTGCAGTACCAGTCAAAGTGGTTTTACAGGGCACCTCTCAGGGGATCAGAGAACATGTGCAGCCCTATATCCCTGGATTCCATTCTGCACACTCCATTCTTAGAGGAAAGAGCAAAAAGAAGTCATATTTCATAGGAAAAACCTACCTGACTCATAGCGGTCTGCAGGTAACTGTTCTTTGCTGTTACTAAAACATCAACTCTACAAAGTCAGTTAAAACAAGAGAAGTTACATGCTGAGAAAATGAATCAAATCTTTTAAGATCTTAAAAGGTTGAATTTGTGGGAAGGAGCAGTGCACAGTGAACACTGAACCAATTATAATGGTGTGTTAAACATTATGTTTCATGATTTTGTTTTCTGGACTTTGAAATCTTTCAGTTATGCAGCGACATGACATGAAATGGACTTCCTCATTGTTTGGCCTGGTCTCCACACCGGCTGGCCTTTTTTTGTATAATTACAAATACAATTAACGTTTCTGTTTTTTCTATTTATAAAAACATGCGGCTGTTTTGGATGCTTGCCTGATCATCTTCGAGTACGTTGTTATCTAAAAAAAACAAAACAAAAAAGCTATATTATCTATACATTGGCTCTTATAGTATTTAATCTTAATGATGGCAGAATATTGTCCACTTTCCTGAGATTGCTCTTTACTGTTCTTTAATGACATGCTTTCAGTGTTGAGTTTTCCAATAATTGAAAAAGAAAACACTTTTTGTTGAATTGGATGGCAATGTGTAAAGTCCTTTAATCAAATGTGATTCTTTCTTTGGAGTGCGCCCTCTTTTAGTATGACGACCCACTTCAGACAAATCCAAGGTTGTGGTGGCTAAGCTGTGTCAATGGATCAATACAGCGGGCGTAATCTCTCAGTCGTGTTTGGTAACTCAAGTCTCCTCCAAAAGGAAGCGATGCCTTTGAACACAAAGAAAGATGCTGCAATGTGGGATCAAGGACGAAGTACATTCTGCTGGGTGTTTTCAGAGGTTGTTATCAGCGCAGTGGGGAATAAGGTTGAAGCAGGAGGAGAGAGAGAGACGAACAGAGGTGGACAAAAATTAGACCCAAATGTGTGTCGTAAAATCTCAAACTGGAACAAAGAATTATATCGAGTATGGTTTTGCCAATGTTGGTGACAAGTTCCATTATGCAAAAGACAATTGACTGTGTTTGTTGTCAGTCTTTGTTAAGATTTTTATGAGTTAAAACATTTTGTTCAGGTGGGTAACTCATCATTTTGGGCCTAAACAATCTGGTTTAGCACTCAAAGACCCTCTACTCTTCTTTCTTTTTTTACATTGTCTTAGTGAAAAACTATTTGTGGGTGTGTGTGTGTGCGCGCCTGTTTTCAACTCCTGGTGGGGTCCATAACCTGAGATTTCACTCACGTCATGGGGACTGGTTTCACGTTGTGGGGCCCGAACACTGGTCCAAGCTTAAAAATCAATGGTTAATGCTTTTCCAACGGTCCTTATGCAGTCTCTGCAAAAAACATGGAAAGGACCCCTGGAGGTTTACTTTTCTGAAAAAGGTGTGTTATGTGTCTTAACCCTGGTGGTGGCATGCGGGATATTAGGGCGGGAAAATGCCCCGGCACACCGGGGCAATTTCAGTCCGGCAGGCTGGAGCCAATCATGGAGCAGCACATCAGAGGAAGTCAGGTGTCAGGCTAGAAAAGGTGCAAGTGTGTGGTCCATCAGGCAAAAAGAAATCATGGAGGAGCACACTGAAGCGCACGCTTACAAACCCCCGGTAAGTGCTGACTACAAGTTATGTTTACAAATTGTTACATAGAATTATTAAAATAATATTAAAATGATTTGTTTTGTTTGTGCAGCTAAGTCAAGAGTCCCTTAACATAAGTGATGAAGTCGACTCAGATTCTGACGATTTAACTGTCAAGAAACCTGTAAAAAAGTATGGAAAAAGAAAAGTCAAAAACACTTTTCTTCAAGACTCAGAAAATGACGAACCAAAGGCAAATAAGAGTGTTTTCATGCAGTTGCAAAAAAAAGAAAAATGGAGCCAGAGTTTACAGCAAGAGGCACTTCTGCCTCTACTGTTCAATGCCCTTTAACAAAATGTCCTGTCATTTGTCTAGAAAACATGGAAATGAAAGTGACGTTGCCAGAGCATTGGCTCTACCTGTGAAATCTAAAGCACGTAAACTTCAGTTTGATTTGATCAGGAATAGTGGAAACCGTGAGCACAATATTAAGGTTTTACGGGCCGGAATTGGAACTTTAGTCCCAACTAAACAGCCAAAATCTCCAGTTAAATCTAGTGACTTTTTACACTGTATAGACTGTGGTGCATTGCTTAAGCGAAAGTCGCTGTGGAGGCATGTGGCCAGGTGCCGGCTTTCACAGAAAGATGCCCAGGCTAAACCAGGTAGAAGTAGGGTCCAGTCCCTCTGCTCCCTAGCCCAGCCTGTACCGGAGGGCATCAGCAAAAAGCTGTGGTCTTTAATTTCGGCAATGCTTCAGGATGAGGTCACAGGTGCCGTTGTGGTGTCTCCTTGTTCTTGAAGACGGGTTTCCCGCACACATGGATAGTGATGGAGAAGGAATGAACTCTGAGTTATGATTAAAAGGAGTTTAATGACATAATCAGGATACATTCAATTCAATTCAGGCATAGCGCTCTTTGCCTGGGTCTCCTCTCTGATTCAGGCTCGACGCCAAAAGACCCAGAATAGAAAACTGAAGTGGGTTAAATACATTTTCCTTTACCATATATGTCCATCTGACCTATGATCCTAGACTCTTAAAATAAAAAGCAAGCCTGCTTTTTTGTGGCCTAGTCAGCGTTCCTGTTGGATGTGAATAGAACAAAATACAGCTCATATACAACACCGTCAAAGCAGAAAAAGGGATTCTGAGACTCGGGATGCACCTGTACTTAAAAAATGGGCATGATAAGACTAAGCATGATTACATTAGGCAGAAAATGAGAGAAGTCGGTAGGTTAATTAACAAAGCAAAAACGGCAGGGAAACTGAAAACAATTAAGGATTTATTTATTCCTTCCAACTTTAACCATGTGATTGACGCAGTCAGGTCTGTGGCTGGATATGATGAGGAAACAAATCTATACGACATCTATATTTTTATATATCTATAAAAAACCTCCAACGAAGCCGGCTGCTTTTTGAGAAGAGGTGGGACGTCTGCTCCCTCTGACTGAGGACGTTAGAGCCATGCATGTACATATCGAGGTATGTCGACCTGAATATGTGCAGACCCTAAAGAGTGAACCAACCCCTAAGCATTGGTCTAAACTGGCAGTTTTGACTCTTTGTGAAGTCATTATTTTCAATCGAAGAAGGGAAGGTGAGGTTTCAAAGATGCCACTGACAGCGTTTACTTTAAGAAATAAGACTGGGATCCATTCTCACAATGCTTTGGGATTGTCCGAAATTGGGAAGAAACTGTGTCAGCATTTTCAACGAATTGAAATTAAAGGGAAAAGAAGTCGGAAATTGCCAGTTCTGTTGACTCCTGAAATGAT